TTTTGACAAATCAAGAAAGTAAAAAAAATATTCTTCCTATCATACCCTCAATTTATTTACATAAAGTTAATGTCTTTTAAAAATATAGTGAGTAAATATATTTGGGACCTATCAATTATTAAAAATAAAATAATAAACTCATTATATTAATCATTATTTTCTTAATAGATATGTTAAAGTTAAAAATTTACAAGTAAATCCGTTCAGAGGGAGTATCTCATGAAGATGATTATAAACATATTTTGGGCTCTAACCAGTAACCACATGACAAACTATAGTATTTATGTGAGGAGACTTTTTCATTACTATAGATTTCCACAACACTGTTTAATTTCACTTGATTAACAATAATATCTTAACTCATATTAATGCAAAGGATGCTATTTTTGAATATAAGTAAAACGAATCAACAAGTATATATAATCAAACTTCTCTGTAACATAATATTTACTCCACTATTTATCATAGTATTTCCCTGTAGTATTTTTAAAAAAATAATTAGAATCGATTTTAACATCATATTACACTATATATATTATAATATTCTATATAACAACATATGACATATAGAGAACGTCTAAAATATCCAAACAAAGGATATTATTATTAAAGGGTTTACGTGTATATATCTTTCAAGAAAAAATAAATTATTGATACAACTCTAGAATATGAACACTTCAATTAGTCAAGGACTCAACAATTACCAATCAATCAATATCCAAAGTTCCCTAGATGCACTCAATTATACGCCATTGTGATATTGAAATAACAAATTGGACCCACCATCAACTTAATTAATTACATGAATTATAAAAGGAATAAATTTAATGCATTTGTTTTTATAGAAAAAAAGAGAGGAAAAATTTCATTCTATGTCAATTCGGAGAAAATATTTACGTCGTGTAGCCTAATATAGAATATTTTATTTGATTTAATCTATATTTATGTATAAACATTTTTATATAATATTATATAAGATTGACACATTATGTATAATAATATTTTATATATTAGATTAAATGATATAATATTTTATGTCAGACTCGTATATGGTTGAAAATAATTAGGTCCCAAATAATTAATTTTTTTAAAAAGGTGAAGAAGAGGTTGAAAACAGGTGATTGCATCACCGATGGATATGACAGTGGATGGAATTGTTTTTTCCTTAACCAAAGCATTACCCCCTTTCGAATGTGGTCTTACTCGATGTTAAGGCTGTTTAAAATCGATAATCCGAATAAAACAAAAGTTATTGATTTATTAATAATGGGTTATTGGTTTGGTGTTTTTGATAGTGGTTTTGATCTTTTTATTATCAGGTTATGATCGGTTCTTAACGATTTGAGGTTTATTCTTAATGAGTTAATCAATAACCCGATAGTAAATAAATAACTAGATTTTTATCATTTGATATATAAATTCCTTCACTTAGAGTTTAGTTCATATTTTTATTTCAAATTATCTCAAACTCTCAGTTATTCTACAATATGACAATGTTTGTTTTTTAACAAGATGCAATTTGTCAAGTCATGTGCATGGTTTATTTGAGTTGTCACCTTGTTTCTAAGTGATTTTCAATGATCTTTTTGTTGTGTCAAATCTTAACGATTAAATTGATGACCAAATCAATAACGATTAATAATCGATAAACCAACAACAATAAGTCAATATCTTAATGGCTTAGCATGTCTACAAACCGATAACTGAAAAATCAAATCGGTAAACTTTAAAACTGAACCGAACCACCGATACGCAGCCCTACTCAGCGTGAATTCGAAATAGTTAAACTTTAATACGGATATCAAACACCGGGTTAGAGACAAAAAAAAACAAAAAAACATGCAATTGGCCATCTATTGACGAATGAGCAGTTAACACTTGGCAATGTGAACAAAAACTTGATTATATTGGTTTTGGCGGGTCCCATATAGTGATGACAGGCAATGCTTTAATTATTCGCTTGGAAACATTAATAATGCTCACAAAATTTAATAATGTGCGCACAGTTTTTAAATCTTGTAATTTAAATTAAAAGTGGATAATACATTGAAAATATTTTTTAATTTTGTAATCTAAAACTTATTATATCAAAAAAGAAAAAGAAAAAAGAAGCAAAACATAGAAGAACTATTAGGAATTGATTTTTTTCTTTTGATTTGTTCGACTATTTACGTGAAGATCTTTTCTATAAAATTTTTAACGTTATGTCAAGGGCGGGCACGGTGATGAGGGGTCCCAATAATTGTCACATTTGAATAACATAATAATTGTTGAAAATGATTTATTACAAGACCTTTGAATTGATGGGTCTCCACTTGGATTCCTCATGTTTTTTTAATAGAAGGAATACACAAGTCTATTGGAAGGTAGAATTTGAATAAACCAAAGTAAATGGAGTTGATTTTCTTACGTCCCTAAATTAGGGTGGGACGCCTTTGTTATTTGTAAAAAAATAAATTATGTATTAACTAGTTGAAGTCTGAATTGAATGTAACATTGAAATGACTATCAATACATAGTTTGTTTGGCTAACTGTCTTCGAGGTTAAAAATATCTTTTTTAATCACTATCTAGTATTAGCCAATTAAAAAAAATAGCATAGTCATTTTTCTGCTATTGAAAAGAAACTATTAAATTTTCAAGATAAAATATGTTTACCATAAATTATATTTATCAATGGAACTTCTAACACCTCTCTAGTTACTCTTTTTAATACAATTTGTCACCCTAGTGTCCACAAACTATCAGTGTACTTCTCCTCAAATTTCTCCTGACTGTGACCCCCAACCCACCCCCACCACCACTTGATTCTTTTTTGGTCATACAAAGTTCACATCTTCCTCTTCCTTTTAATTTCTAGATTCATTAATTACCAATATATTATGTTGAATTGTGAGATTCTCACTTGTGATTAACTTACACACCTTACATAAAACATCTATCATTCTTCTTAAGGAGTAGGTAATGGACCAAACTCTTTACTACCATATAACAAGCTGACTGATAAGTGTTCATCCTTCTTTTGTAAATTTGAGTTTACTATCACCCAATAATTTCTTTTAATAAAATTCATATTTACAATTCCTCCTTCGTTTTCTATCTCCAAAATTTCTATGTACATCAAAATAACCCCTCAAATACTAAAATTGAACCAAAATATTGAGTTTGGATATATCAATAACATATACTCTCTTTCTGCTATATCATGTGATTTTTTATTTTATTTTTCATTTTTAACCAATCTTAAACTTATTAAGGTCGAATAAACCCTTAACATATATTCTGTCTTAACCTATGTGATCCTATTCTCTTTTTATATTTAATAATAATTCAATTTTAAACTTTTTATTTATTCTTGATAAGATGATTCATAATTATATAAATTTAATGACTTATTTCATACTATAAATTTTAATTATTTTTCTTTAAACCTTTTATAATCAATCAAATAGCTCCACATCAATCAGAATAAAGAGAATTACACACTACTATTTGCCTAGATACTTTTCCCCAAACTATGGAAACCTAAAATTCCACAAAACAAGGAGAAATTTGGAATATTCATAACCCACTGATTTGTACCTTTAATATGATGTCCCACACCTCTCCCATGCTCACCGACTCACCGTTAATGTCATTTTCCTTTGTAAAAAATGTTTTAAGGAGTGACCAAAAAACAAATCAAAACCTACACATCTTTTTCCAATTTCATCATCACTACTTTACTCCAAACACAAAAAGAGTTTAGCCAAACAAATGAAACAAGTACTACATGTTTTTATATCTTATTGTACTACTTATTCCTTTATTCAATTTCATGCTTGAATTTTAAGCACCACAACGTACATAATATATAAGGGCCTCTACATATGTAGGCATCGTTTGATTTTGGTCAGGAAGTAAATTATTCATATATTAAAATAAATATAATTAGTACTATTATGCTTGATAGTATTTTAGTTGTTATGTCGCTTATGTGTAATATTCAGTTCATCAAGTATGATATTTACTAGTATTTAACAATTTTAAATGATATATATAAGTTTTAATTTGAGAAAAGATGAATTAATTGGAAAACGGGAGAAGTTGCATATCTTCTTTTTTTTAACATTCTTCCAAATTTATATACCATCAAGAGAAAAAAAAATTAATAGAAAAAATTCTCGAACAATTCATATTTACTTGAAGTATATATTACTCAGTTTCTCCTTCCCTCTTTGTTCCCGGGGAACGCGTATTCATCGCTTTATTAACATTTCATTATTAGAATTTACAAACTTAAAAAGAAGCTTTTAGAAGCATTGCTTTTATTTTCGACATAATATATAAACATAATTTTTAAATAATATTTAATTTAGAATATTTTGGTATGATTTTTTTTTTTGATTGGTCAAAATATTTTGAAATTCTTAAAATGAGGAAAATGACTTTTCTTAATTATAATAGGAAAAACAAGTTACATAAATGATATGCAAGTTTATTATCTCCTCTCAACCTACCCAACACCTCCACCCCTCCCTTGACCATCCCAACCCCTGCCACTCGTGAACCACCACTCCCAACTCTATTTCGCCCATATAATATTTTATGAGATTACATATAAGTAATTTTGAGATAATATTGATTTGCATAGTTAACAAGTACTAGAAAATAAGTAATAAATCTTCTTATTTTTGAAAGGGACATTTTTTAGTTTGCATAAACAAATACTTAAATTTATATTAATGTGAATAGATAGAAAAACAATATTTGATGTAATGCCTCTATAAATATCCAAAAGTTATGAAATATTCTAAAAGTTTCTTCAAGGAATATACTAATACCTTTTATATAGGTATAATAACCTTCAAGAATTCTAAGAGGAATTACAGTCGCGATTAAAATTGGACATATCTTGTAGAGTCCCCCGTTAAATTTGAATGTGTATTAAGAGTATTTATTTTAAATAAAAAAGATGTGTTCATCCTATATATGTGACACTACTTCCTTCCCAAACAAAGCATCCTTCATAAATGCTTGACGTGGAAGCAGAATCAAACTAATTTTTTATTCATTAAAATAAAACCAGAGAATCAAACGGTTCAGATTCACTTTATATTTTTCCCCAATTCCAATTTCTTGTTCATAATCAAAATATCTCTTCTTCACTCCACTCTCCATACACGATGTTGGGGAAAAGGGGCCGTCCACCGATGAGGAGGACAACAAGCATGACAGGGATCACCGTTGATCTAGGTACTGCAACTGAATCGGAGCCGTCTGATTGTAATAAGCCTAAAATTATGGTTGATGAGATCATTAAGAGTTCGGAAGGAATAATCATTAATTCTGTGCCGGCGATGGTGTCGCCGAGATACCAACGGAGAATCTCCGGCGAAGGTTTTGAAAGAGAAAGGGCTAATTTCCTGAGAATTTGTGGCCTTTGTAACCGCCGATTGATTAATGGACGAGATATCTACATGTACAGGTACAACTCTTTACAAACAAATCGGAAAAAATAAATAAATAAATTTGTTGTTTTTTAATATTTACTACTTCGTGTTATAGTTTAATTATTACTCTATTACTATTACTCACTTTATATAATTATTTACTCGTAAAATCTAAAATAGATGAGTAAAAGGAGAAATCGATCGTTTTAAGTGCAGGAGCTAGCCTAGTAAAGTGAGGTTAGGTTGAAAGAGTAACTCCTGTTTCATGTTTCATATTATATGATCCTGTAACGTTATTTTATCATATATTTTCCTTGCTCTATTGGATAGCTACATAGAATAAATAATAGTAGTAATTAAATTTAGACTTTTAAAATATCATAAATAATATATATTTATTAAAATATGTGTTAAATTATTATGGATCAAAACGGAAGAAGTAAGATAGTTTCAAGTTTCTCTGAATTGAACATATGTAAGACGTTCCTCCAAATTGTATGGGAATGAAGACCACCATACTTGCTAAAAGTTAAAAATGAATAGCAACAAACAAGACTTTGTCAATAGAATAAAATAGCAAAATACCTCCATTAAACAAGAATTTTACTTCTTTAAAGACTTGTTACATTGTTGGTGTATTGCATTATGAACATTAATTAATAAACGATTTCTTTTCTTATATTTAAACTATTTGTATGCCACTTGACAATTATTATTATCTTTATTAAAATAAGGACCTCAACAATAATAGTACTACCTGGTACTTGTCGTGGAATTAAATAGTTGAGATAAAAAAAAATAGTAGTGTATGATATAATAATTAGTTCATTTTATTTTTGGTATGCAGGGGTGATACAGCATTTTGTAGTATGGAGTGTAGAGAAGAACAAATGCAGCAAGATGAAAGAAATGACAAGTCTAATATCAAGCCAGAAAATCATCACAATCACTCTGAATTTCGTTCTGCTAAATCTGAAACTTCCAGCAATAACGACACCATTGCAGCAGCTTGAAGAACACACACAAAATGAAAGAGAATAGGCATGCACAGTAGTGATGTGAGTTTTACTGGGTTGGGGACATTCGTGTAAAATTTTAACTATGTATTCGTATTTTACACAAACTTACACTACGTGCCATGGTTTGAGTGCCACAGTTCAAATGCTACGTTGTAAGATTGAATCCCTCGTGTTTTTTTTTTTACTTCGTTCCTTTTTATCTATTTATCTCTCTTTGCATAATCCTTTTTTTTTTTAAAAATAAAATATTTATATTTGTTTCTTTTTTCTCATTCTTCAAAAATGAAAGTACTTCTTGAAAAAATTTAAATGGGAAATGTAGTGTGAAAGATTGGAAAAAGATATAAGCAACCAAATAATAGTACTAGTTAAAAAGCTTAATAGTTGAAGACCTTTTAGAACTTGACATCTTTTATTCAGTGTACATTTATTAATAGAATTCGCCTAACGTTGTATTTTTGATAGAATTATAATCTTAGTATAACGAGGTAATGTTACACTCACGTGGTATGTTTAGCAATAAAATTTATCAACGAAGAAATTATGGAGCTAGATATTGAAAAGGCCATGTAGTGACTGAACACCATTCAGCTGCATCAGAAGAGAGTGATGATTAGATAGAATTATTGGCAAGTGAAGAATTGAAGCACAACCAAACATTAAATGTCAATTTAAAAACAATATCAACTGAACACACAAAACGAGATGGTCCAAGGTAGAAGAAACATTTAATTAGATAATGACTTGTACTTTTATCTTTTTCTTGAGCCCCTTGATGATTGTGCACATTTGTGTTGTACAACAAATGTGGGGAGGGATTGAGTTGTTGAATCAAGGTGACTGCAGCTAGCCGGGGCCTGATATTTATTTATTTTAAAAAATCTTGTCAGTGTGTAGCGTGGGCACTTGATAATTGAGAAAAGGCATAGATTTTATTTTGAATTTGTTCTAAAAAGTCGAATATATGATTAAGCTAATGATGACCTATTACATATTTTTACTATTTAAAAGTAAATTTAATATCATCCTTAGACGTATAAAACCATACTCATGATGAAATGTGTATAAGTGTAATACACTCGCACCACATAAATGTGATCTTATTGCCACATCAAATCTCATGTAAGCTTTTGAAAAAAAAATCTCCATATCATCCAATTAGTTCTTCTTTACTGAACACTACCATGGAATTACTAACATTGCCGCCGTAGCGATACCAAAATCATATATTCCAATACCAAAAATAAAAATAGCCTTCACGAATTTCACTATCTACGATCAAACTCATCACACGAATTTCACTACCTACAATCAAACTCATCACCAAAATCACACTTTCATTATTGTCTCCACAAAAGTTGTAAAGAACCACTACAAAAACCAACACCCTTAAACAAACTTATCGCTGAAATCACATTATTACCATCAAAAGGTATAAACTCACCACTATTAGTAATATCATTTTCTTTTGGTCTAACCCATCGGTGGCCCCCTAAATTTGGCACCAACTTTCACTTGGACACTTTAACTAGGTTTTGTTCATTTTAAACACCTCATGTCAAACCTCATTGTGTCATTTTGACACTTTTTATATTTTCAAAACCGCATTTTAAGTGCGTACATCCAGACGCCTCTTATGTGGAAAAATAAACGAATTGGTATGTGACACGTGGAAATTTTATTTTATTTTTAAAAATCTCAATTTTACTTTCTTTTTTTCTTTCTTCCAGATCCCAAACCCCATGCCCCCACCTCTTTTCTTCTTCTTCTTGCGCCTCCTTCCCCTTCATTTGTTCTTCTCCATCAAAAAGGCAAGGACATAGGTTAATTTACAAAGTAAAATACGTTTTGGAGAATAAGGGAAATCATACCAAATCGAAAAGTTTTTATATGACATTTAAAAGAAGATGATTTCTTGTGCTACTACTATTGGGATTTACAATGAAGGATATGTAAAATAAATTTCTTTTTTTTTCATTGGAGGTTGTTCTTTATTTCTTTTTTATTCCTTGAAATCAATTTAATGTTCAATGGAGAAGGTAAGAATGTAAATCAGTTTTTCCATTTGAAAGAAGTTGATTTCTTTTTTTGTTCCCTTGAAATCGATTTTGTTTTTGAATAGGAATCAAGATGCAAATTCGATTTTCAAAGAAGATGGAAGAATCAAAGAGTGTAACCTAGTAAAATATTGTAGAATTTTTAAAAAAAGTTGTGTGGTGATGGAGGATGGTAGAAGGTGAAGAAGATGGATGGGAGAAAGCAAGGAAGAAGAAGGAGAAGAAAATATTTACAAAAAATTTCAATATATTTACAAAAAAGGTCTCTGACGCACTCAAAATTCGTGTAACACACGTACTATGCTTAGTCAGCAAAAAGTGTCAAAATGACACAACGAGACATGACATGAAGTGTTTAAAATGAAAATCCTTCAGTTCAGGTGTCTAAGTGAAAGATTGTGCCAAATTTAGGGGGTCACCGATGGGTTAGCCCTTTTCTTTTTCTTTATCACTTTCAATTAATCTTCTTTGCCACTGGCCACCCATCACCCACCACCAACAAACCGATCATTATATTTTATTTTTTAAACTCAACAATCAATTTTATCAGTCATCAACAAAGCTGCCATCACTATCTATTTCTTCAACTCTCTTCTATCATTTACTTGATTTATTTTTTGATGAGGTGAGAGATCTCCTTTTTAGAGTGAAAATAAGAAGAGAAATTAGGTACATATAAAATACAAATAAAACTTATGAAAGAAATTAAGTTATAGATCATTGAAATGAAAAAGAGGAGGACAATGGGTGCACTACTGTGAAGACAGAGGCGTGGAAGTGGGGTGTAAGAAAGATTCTGCATTTTAATTTTTATCTAATACCCTTAGCAGCTTAAAACATATGTGTATATTTTCTTGATCTTCCGAAGGTTAACAATGCACGTTTTCAAATAAGCATGGTGTATGCACTACAATATTTTAGGTCTAAGGCCACACTAAATCTGGACAACACTCGTAAAGTGTTGCCTTAAATATTTTTGGGTACACTTTTAAAGTGTAGCCTTAGTTTTTAGGTTTTGACCACGGTAACAATAGCAACATTTGTCAAGCGTGCTCTTTTGTGGTATAGGCTACATTTTTTAAGCGTAGTCATATCATGATATAATGGCAACGCTTATTAACATCTAAGAATTCACTTTTAAAGTGTCGTATTTTTATAATTTAAAAAACAACATTTTATAAGTGTGGCCTTATAGATTTCCTAAAATTTTCACTAAGATATTTTATTCCCTCCAACATATTTAACTCTCCCTCTAATTTACAATTGGCCAAAAAAGGAACTCATACAAAATAAATTAAAAGAAAAATCAATATAAACAACTTTTAACTCTAAAATCAAATTTGTTCCCCAAATAAGAATTAGAGTTGCTATTTGCCCATATCACAAATCTCACGCCTAAAAAACCCTACTTCGTTCTTCTTCTTCTTCTTCTTCTTCTCATTTTGACTCATAAATTCTCCATTGTAACCAGTTCGTTATTTTTTAAATCTCGTTTTCACTTTACATTTTTTGGTAATTTGATGGATGGTAGTGATTTCCCTAATTTTTCTTCACCTTCATCCAAGAAACTGGAGAAATAGATCGCAGAATTTCAACATTGTTTGGAGGAAGAAGGGATTTTATGGTAGTCGATACTTGGTTCGCCTACATTCGAAAAAGTGGAGAAATAATTTGAAGAATTTCGACATTGTTTTGAGGAATTAGGGGATTACGGGTGTGGATACTTGGGGGATTTAGGGGTGTGGATATGTGTTGTAACGAAGAAGATAGATTCAATCACTATGCTCATAAATGCCAAACTTCTCCTGTTCATCAGTTTGCCCTGTTGATGGTATTCAAAAATCATAATTTATATGACGATCTTTTCTTTTTATGAGATTTTGAATTGTTAGATGCAATTTGAGTTCTAAATAATTTGCACATTTTCTAAATTTGAGTTTCATTATGTTACATATAGTATTAAACTCGGTGTCCATTTATATGACTTATGTTCTTTTTTCTGCTTTCATAGTGTTTAGCCATAATGTGGAATAGCTTTCTGATGAGTATCAGATATCCTGCAGATTACATAGTGGAACTTGTTGTGGAACTCAAAACTGCTGCACAGTTGAGAGATTCTCAGTTCATTTTTCCTCAAAGGCCATGGCTTGGTATTTTCCGAGCACTTTGTCATTGCTTGCTTCAATTACCTTGCTCCTAGCAATTTGCTAGCCGCATAAAATATTCATCATTTCTTGGATTCTTTTTATTGACATTTGGTTTTGATGAAGTTGTGTAGAACAAACTAATGCATGTCAACTCACCTGATTTTTTTCTTTTAGATTTGTATGGGATTAATGTTCGACCTGTCGCTCCTTTTGGAAGTGCTAGTAGCAAGCAGTTTCTTGATCCTGCATTGATACACCAGGTGCTACCTGATGAACTGCTTTTTGAGATATGCCTTTGTGGATTTCAATAAATTTCCTCTGTAATTTTCTTATCAACATGTAAATATGTGGCAAGTGCTGAAAATGCTTTGTTACGCTAGGAAGGTGAAGCATATTGATAAAACGTACAACAAAGCTGATTTTGCTAAATTAATTAGTAGGTATCAGAAGTGTGAACAATGTTTTTCTATAAATCAAATGAAAATATCAACCAGAAAGTAAGGTATTTGTGGTTGTTTTGGGTTACCTGTACATTTCTGGTGAGGAGATATCTAGTTATTCCCTATTTCATGCCCATGCAAAAAGTTAGTGAATTCTACGCGGAGACAAGCGTTGCTATTTTAACATCTGCCTTGAGCCTTTACCCCCCTTTTAATTCTTCCAAGGGGAATATTTGATAGAAAAGTTGGATGTCATCTCTGTATTCTTTGGAGACGGGGAATATTGGACTTTATGATCTCATTATAGTACTTAAGTCGAGCTTTTTAGCCAAGCATAAATGTGACCGTTCCCTTTGATTCTTTTTCTGGATGGTTAGCTTGTTTACACAGATAATTTACTGGATTAGTCTTTAACCCACTTCCACTTCCACTCCCACTCCCACTCCCACTCCCACTCCCACCTCCTCTTTCCAAAGTTCTTGTTGTTTCCTTCCAAGGGGTGAATTGAGGTTACATATCTAGGGAACTTAAGGCAATCAAATATAAAGTCTTGATGTCTGCTTGAGAAAAAAATATGT